ACCCCGGGGGGGGCCAGCCACAGCTTCTCTGGGCAACCCGTGCCAGTGCCTCACCACTCTCACAGTGAAGAATTTCTTCCTTCTATCTAACCTAAATCTACCCTCTTTCAGTTTAAAGCCATCACCCCTTGTCCTATCACTATATGCCCTTGTAAAAATCCCCTCTCCAGCTTTCTGGCAGGCCCCCTTCAGGTACTGGAAGGCTGCTGTTAAGGTCTGCCCGGAGCCTTCTCCTCTCCAGCCTGAACAGCCCCAACTCTCCCAGCCTTCCCTCATAGGAGAAAATATGCCTACTTGTGGAAAGTAGCCTCAATAGGCAGGCTCTCTTGACATCTGGGCTTTATCAACCTCTTTCTAAGAGCCCTCTTCTCTTTCAGTACGGCTTCCAAGTGTCTGTTCATATCTTGCAACATCTCGCATTTTTTGCCTATAAAATAAAATTGCAAAGTTGAACTTATTGTCCTGCTAAAGCAAGAACAAAAAATCTTCTGGAGAAAGACACAAAGTCTTATCTATTGCACTGGACAGTTTACACTCAGGAAAGATATCATTAATCAGAATTACTTCTGTTTGAATGTATAGGACTTAATATCAGCACGCACCTCAAAGTCATAGCACCTACTTGCTAGACATATAGCTTTGTTAATTGTTTTATACTTCAGTAGCCTAACACAGTAGTAGCAAGCTAGAATGTTTTTAAGCATCCATCAAATCATCATATTGGAAAAACTACGAATACACATGAAATTAATACATATGCTCCCAAAATACTAAAATGAAAATCCTAGTAATTTTAGGGGCATTCAGATCCAGCAGAAATACACTGAGTTACCAGAAAAGCAGCACACAGGCCAAGGGAAGCAAATCACATTACTGATGATCTCAGAACTCCTGATGCCCCATTGACAGCACACACACCTCCCAACCTGAGACAACATAGGGTGCAAGTTCAAACAGCACGGACACATTCTTTAGGGGATAACAGAACACCTGCTACTTCTAACAAGCTATCCAGTGGAGACAGCTGCAATAACTTCTAGAAATGTCACATACTCAGATTAAACATTAATCTGCTGATGAAGTCCTTTAACACTCTTGGTTTTTCTAAGGCACAACTGCACTTACGTAAGTAAAAAGGGTGAGTAATGTCTGCTGTCTCCTTCTCCAGCTGCAGAATTTCAGCTTTCAGTTTCTTCTACAATAATAACATAAAATGAAAACACATTTTTAGCATACTTATCCAGATATTATTGATTCTCTTGGGGTGGGGGAAGAAGTAGAAAGGGAGAAAGTGAGAGGATGGGAGAGAGCATGTGCGTAAAAGAGCGAGCATTTGTACAAGAGCACGTTACCATGCCTCTCTTGAGTGTTTCTACTACCAGGTGGGGCTTTTTCAGTCAATAGGAAAAGACTGTTAAAAAAAACCTAAACAATTTGGTGACTTAGTGAGAATTTGTGCTGGAAAAGACAGATTCTGCAATTCATTCCTAAACCACAGAAACTTACATCTCCTACAAGGCAGTTTCATAGTCTACATCCTACTAAAGTACCTCTCTAAGCCCCAAGGCTCCTCCTATGGCAAAGACTGGTTAGTGTTGCACTAGGTTTTTTCAGCTGTGGGAGAAGCTCTCTCAGGTGAACCTCCCGGCTTTTATTCTTTCCAATGATAAACCAGCGCAAAAGCAGCAGATACCTTCCTGTGGCTGAAAGCTGTGACTGTTTTGGTTAGGTAAGACTGAGGAAAGTGTAGAAAAGGGTGGCATGTCAGTCTCTCAGAACACACAGAGAATTGTTGCTTTGCTTTTCTTGATCACTGAGGAGAGGGCAAAAATAAAGCCATGTCACTCACAGCATACTGAACATTTGCCTGAGCGAGTACTTTATGCACAAAACTTTCAAGCAAAGGAGGCTAAGCAGCCACCTCACTGGGAGATGGAAGCTGTTTGCTCCTGCTGGTCAATACAGGATGATGCCAGCTGTTTAACTCATTCTCCAAAACAGTAAATGATGAATTTGTCATGCTGCTTTGCAGTAAACCCAAATCATGAAATCATGAAACAATAGCACGTGGCAGTTCGATACCTCATCAGGTAACATCTATTATCTCTAACTATTGAGGCGTTGAGTGTACACTGACAACAGTAAAGACTGTACCTCATTGATTTCAGCTCGCATATTTGCCATTGTCTCCATCTCTGAGAATTTCACAAAGCATGGGGCTTTTCTACAGGCTAAATCCAATGTCGCCTGTGAAAGGAAAACAATGGGAAAAAAATGCAGTCAGCAGCAAGAATGCATCAGGCAAATTCTCAAGACCGGCTTTTAACAGTCTGAAGTTACTGTTAACCTCTTGCACTGTGCAATGCAGTAAACTTTAGCTGAACAACTCATAAAATACATGTATTATTTGGGGAACATGAACACGAGTGAAAATAAAATTTCATAGAAGGTAGTATGACAGCACCCTCAATGATACCAGCTTGCAGGCCACTGGAATGCACCAGAGGACATAAAAACCTCACAGAATCACACAGAATGGTAAGGGTTAGAAGGGACCTCTGGGGATCACCTAGTCCAACTCCCCTGCCAAAGCAGGGTCACCTACAGCAGACTGCACAGGACCTTGTCCAGGCAGTGTGTGATTAGGTCTAGAGAAGGAGAATCCACAACCTCCCTGGGCAACCTGTTCCAATGCTCCATCATCCTCAGAGCAAAGAAGTTCCACTTCGTGTTCAGATGGAACTTCCTACACTTCAGTTTGTGCCCGTTGCCCACTGTCCTGTCGCAGGGCACCAATGTCTACACTCCAAATACACGCCAGAAGGCACAGTTGTTTCTAGTAAGGAAAGCTGTCCTCATCCAAAAACGTACGAGATCCCGCAATAACGGGGAAAACCTCTCCGCCTTTTGAATTAGCAAGCATTCACGCAAACAGTAACACGGTTTAGCCCTTCCACCTCACTTCCAGGCACGCAGCCGG